TCGATTATTCAAAGGTTTAAAATTGCGTTTACAACATGTACGCATTTGGGAAAGTCCGTCGGAAGTGAGAGTTTACAATCCTAAGAGATGAAGTTGGACCCGAGGACAATAAGTTGGTATTTCGTTGGATACGCTGAAAGGTCTAAGGGATGGTTTTAATTGTCCATCTCATACCACTAGGTTAGTGAATCAAGAAATGGAAAATTTCTTGAAAATTACTTGGTCAGTGGGAGCAGTCGATCTTTGGATATTAGTTCAGAGAGAGGCTATTCTAGAAATCTCATTGTAAGTGATAGCATGATTGTTGTCGATAATATGCCTCAATTGCAAGCGCATGTTGAACAACCGACTTTGGAAACTTTACAAAACGTTGAACCACATTTTGTAGATTTTGATGTTCAGCATATTCCTGATATAATCGAACAACAGAATTCTGGAAATCATGAATTTCTAACCAAGAATTAAGGAGATCTACTTAATCAAGAAACTAAGTATTTCCTCGTCATTATGTTGTATATCTACAAGAGAGTGACTATAATATTAGAGCCGAGAATGATCGCGGGACGTTTTCACAAGCTATAATTATAAATCAATCAAACTTATGGTATAAGGCCATTAATGAAGAGTTGGATTCTACGACATCAAACAAAGTCTGAGATCTCATCGAGTTGCCTAGAGGTGTGAAACATATTGGTTGTAAATTGGTTTTCGAAATCAAGAAAGATTTAAAAGGCAACATCAAAAGATATAAAACAAGACATGTTGCCATCAAAGAGAATGAATTGATCACGCGAAGACTTTTTCTTCTGTATCATTGAAAGATTCTCTTCGAGTTATTATGAAATTAGTAGAACATTTTGACTTTAAGTTCATCAAATGGATGTGGTGATTTACTAGAGAATGTTAAAATGGAACAACCTGAAGGGTTTTCTTATAGTTAGGGTGACATTTAGTTTGCAAGCTTAATAAATTGATATATGGGCTGAAACTAGCCTCCCGACAGTGGTATTTTAAATTCCATGAAATTATCACTTCATTTGGTTTTGAAGAAAACGTCATGGATCAATGTATATACCAGATGGTTAATGGGAGCAAGATATGTTTTTTAGTTCTATATGTTGATGATATACTACTTGCAACTAATGATAAGAGTACGCTATATGAGGTGAAACAATTCTCTCTAAAAGCTTCCCTAATTGTAAAGGATGATAGGTTCAATTTGAATCAACGTATGAAAAATAAGCTCGAACGTGAACAAATGAAGTCCATTCCATATGCTTAGTTGTTGGAAGCCTTATGTATACTCAGGTATGTACATACCAGACATTGAATTTGTTGTTGGGATATTAGGAAGATATCTGTATTGACCATTGGAGAGCTGCAAAGAAGGTAAGGTACCTTCAAGGGACAAAAGATTACATGCTCATGTATAGACGAACTAAAAATTTGGAGGTGATTGGTTACTTAGATTTTGACTTTGCTAGTTGCATTGATTCACAAAAATCTACATTACAATTTACTTCACATTGGCCAACGGAGCTATATCTTGGAGAAGTGTCAAACAAACCTTGATCGCTACCTCAACTGTGGAAGCGGAGTTCATATCATATTTTGAAGCTACTAGTCATGGTGTATGGCTAAAGAGTTTCATATTTGGGCTTAGCGTTGTGGATTCAGTATCTAGGCCATTGAGATTGTATTGTGATAATTCAAGTGCGATATTCATGGTTAAGAATAATAAAAGTGAAAGTCAAAGTAAACACATCAGCATCAAGTACTTAGTCGTGAGGGAACATGTGAAAGTAGAAAAACTTGTCATTGAGCACATAAGTAGGGGTGAGCAACAGTGCGGTTCGGTGAAAAACCGCACCGAACCGCAAAAAATCGAAAACCAAATTTGACAAAAAAAATAACTGAACCCCACTACAATTTGAAAAAAAACGAACTGAAACCAACCGAAATTTTTATACACTAAAATAACAGAACCGAACAACACCGAAATGCACGGTTCGGTTTGGTTGTATCTCTATTTTAATGTACATTTTATGCAATTGGTGCGGTTCGGGGCAAAACCGCACCGAACCGAACAAAATAGAAAACCGAACTCGAGAAAAACTATAACCGCACCGCACCGCAATGTTGGAAAAAAACCGAACCGAACCAAACCGAACTGAATTTTTTTATATTAAAAAAACTGAACCGCACCGCACCGAATTGCTCGGTTCGGCTTGATTTTTCGGTTTCGGCTCGGTTTTGCTCACACCTACACATAAGCACTGAATTAATGATTATTGATCCTTTCACTACGCGCATGCAGCCAAAGAATATTAACGATCATGTAGTACGAATGAGGCTAAGTTCTAATATGTAACATTTGGTTGTACGTACATTTTCTTTTTCTTGTTACATTAAAAATTTTATTGCACTTACTTTTTGTGCACATTTATATTGAGAATTATCATTTATTTTTGGACCTAGAATAAACATTGGTTTTATTTATAAAGTTAAAAAAATGTGTTAACGTGGATCAAAGTGCATTGTAATACATGGACGATACTTTTTAATTTTAGAGGACATATCTTCATGATTTGTGTACTTTGTATATTATAGTTTTGGATATATTAACATATGGACCAAGTAGGAGAATGTTAGTATTTTATTTTGTCAATATCCTTGTATTATGTAGAAACAAGATAAGTTTAAAGTGGTACACATCTTCCTATTTATACGGAGTACAAATATTGTTAATCTCCT